AGCAAAAATTACCACAGTGTCTTGTGGGATTATAAGGCATATGATGTAACAAATATGACAACTCTAACAAAGGATGGCAGGGCAGAATCAATGGACACATACAATTACCAAGTTTTCTGGTGTTCTGGTATTTATGTGAAGTGGTACAATATTAAGTTTAAGTAGACTCAGAAAAAATAAAGATTTATATCATATTCCTAAAGCAATCACTAAAAATAGGTAAATAAAAATAATTGAAAGAGTTTTAGTTAAAAAACAGATCAAATCATCCAAAATAGGGAAGGAAAAGGGAAGAGAGGAAGAAAATGTATTTCCTACGCTGCTCAGAAGGCCAGGAAGCAGTGATGCTCCATAGCCGTGAGCCCACCAGCACCCACAGCTTCGTCTCTAATACTATTCTCCACTCAAAGGAATCACAGGTCTTTACAGAAATGGCTGATGCCAGGGCTGGGGCAGAGCAGGTACAAGGTGCCAGCCAGTAAGGAAGCGCTCAAATGAAAATGATGGACATGTCACAACGACACAAAAGCCAGCTTGAAGGGGCTCCCAACACCCAACTCTGAACAATTTCAGCACCAGACAGACAGAAACGAATTACAAACCATTGAGAAATACAGGAATCCATGAGTTGATACTAATGGATCAGTCAGTACGGGAGAAGGGAAGGCTCTTCATTACAGTACATAGCAGGGCTCTGCCAGGGAAATGCAAGGAAGAGCTGGCCTTGGAAAATAATCATCTGGTAAGAATCAGAGGTAAGATTGGTTCCCGTAAGAATCATCACCGGACGCTAGCCCCAGGGCCAGGGCAGGGGGCGGGGGAGATTGGATGAGGAGCAGGAAGTCTGCATGATCTTAAATTGTCTCCCCACAGGTGGCTTACCAGTTTCAAGGGAAACAAACAGTAATTGTACAGTGGCAAAATCAACAAACACTTTGCCAGGTAATCGAAATTAGCATCACCACTAAGAAGCAGATGAACACTGTGGGCCCCTGGGGAGGACACACATACTCACAGAGCATTCTGGGAGGGAAACCATAACCTGAATCTAAATCACAGGAAAACATCAGCCAAACCCCAAACAAAGAACATCTGATTCTCAACAAAAGGGTGGAGAGCGAGACTGGAGTCTTCAAAATTGCCCATGCCATAAAAGATACAGAAATGGTCCAGCCCAAAGAGACCACAGAGACAAGGCAATTATGCACACTACTGAATCCTAGCCCGGATCTTGTGCTGGAGGGAGGAAAATATGCTCAAGGACATTGCTGGGGTCATTCGACAAACTTACACATTAAAGACAGATTTCCTAGAAACATCTTAAATATTTCAAAAAAAAAGAAAAAAGAAAATTTCATCTTCAGATGAAATAGTTCCCCCTACTTATTACTTTAGTTGTAATTTAGCTTCTTGTGACTGCTCTTCCCAAGACTAATCACATGAAGGCCACACCCACTAGAGGCCACTTAGTAATAACACTGTATTTATATACATACATAGTAATAAAACGTTTAAGCCTCTTTTTACATTCTTACTAAAAATACACTCACTTGTATTTTCTAATAATTAGAACTGCTTTGGTCTTGTCCCTGTCCTGTCCTCTTATGTGACTATCCAGGATAGGAAATCTGATAGTTGCCACTTTAGAACTGTCTTGGGCTAAAGACACATACCATAAATGCCTCTGGAGAATGGAATGTCCCCTGAAATCCAGGTGTAGAGGAGTCACACTGTTGCTTTTTTTAGAAAACTAGAGTAAATTTACATGAAAGCAGCAAAGTAAAATATAAGGCATGGACTTTGGCAGATGATGTGTGAAACTGCTCTAAAAAAAAAGTCTATTAATTTAAAAAAATTTAATACTAAGGCATGGCCATTCAACCCTATGTGAGGAACTCTGACCTTTTTAAATAAATTTCTCCAGGGCAACGCTGCACAGTGTAGCGTTGTGGAGTTGTGGTCACAGTGGCCCTGACAGCTCCACCATGACATTTTATCTGCCCCCCTCAACTAGGTTATAAATTCTTTGAAGTGCTGCTTCATAGTTATTCTGGTTTCTCCAGGGCACCCAGCATGTACTTGTTGTTTCTTACTATTGAATCAAGAACTACCTCAAGGCTCACTGGCCCTATAATGGAAGGCGGTCCTGTGAAAAGAATAGGTACCACGGATTTCATTCCATTTTCTCAGTATGCCCTCCATAATCTACATTTCAAGCATCACTCTCTCCAAACACATCCTCCTATCTTTCCAAACATAGCCTCTTGTACAACCCCAACAATACTTCAAGCCAACGCAGACCCATGATCTGTTAATCAAACAATCTTTCCACCCTTCTTTCCTTCACTCCCTTCATGAACCCCCACTAAAAAGCTTGGAGTCCATGGTTTATCATTATCACCACTGCTTTGCATATCCCTTGATGGCAGTTGCCTGGCAAAATCCAACCCTGGTTAAATCCAACAGCCTGCCTCCTTCCCGCTTACAGGCTGCCGGATGAACAACGGGCCTGTTCCTCTGGCCTCACATTCACTTACAACCACCAGCCCCAAGTGAGCCATTAGTCCTGCCCAGTAGTAATTCTAGAACATTTCTCTGATCCATCCACTCTTCCAGGTTCCTAGACAACTGTTTCATGTGTTCTCTTCAAACTTCTAAAACCTCTTCCCCATTCTCATTCTCAGAAGATAATCTTGTTTCCTCTCACTAAGAAAGCAGAAACAATCAGAAAAGAATTTCCACAAGTCCTGATGCCACATCCACTCTTAGCAGTAAATGTCTCTGTATACTCTGCATTCCCTCTTGTCCATACAGAATAATCTATCCTTGATCCTATATAACCCATAGGATATAACCTATACATCCTATAGAACCCACTGACTTGTCCACTAGTCTATCCCCACAGCCTCCTTAAGCCTTTTGCACGAGCAGTGCACTTGCATAGGCAAATGTCTCCTCTTGCCTCTGCATCATCGAAATTTCCCTCTCTACTGGATCAGTTCCATTAGCATACAGAGATGCTGTCATTTCTCCCATCTTGAACAACCATTTCCACTCCACATCCCCCTCCAGATACTGCCCCAGATCTCTGTCCCCCATCGGAACTGCCTCCATGCACTGTTTCCAATCCCAACTTCTACTCAAATATCTCTTGCTCCCACTAATCCACCAAAACTGCTAGTCAAGATCCCAGAGACTCCACATTGCTAATTCCACTGGTGCCCTCTTAGACCTGCCTTTACTCAACCTATTTACCATAGCTGATCATTATCCCTTCCTTGAAAGCTTTCTTCGCCTGACTTCTAGAACCCTATCCTCACTGGTTTTCCTCCCCAACCTCCAACACTGGAGCGCTCAATCCTGGAACCTCTTCCCTTCCCTCTCTATACTCACTAAGAGATCACATCCAGATTCGTGGCTTTAATAACATCTGTACACTGAGGACTCCCACGTTTTCATCTTCAACCACTCCCAGGAGCTCCACACTCATATATCCAACCACCTACCTGACACCTCCACACGGGTGCCTAATAAATACCCAAAATTCAGCACCTCTAAACAGAACTCCTGATTCCCCCCAACCAAACCTAGTCCTTCTGAAGCCTTCCCAATCTCAGTAAATGGCAAAGCTATCTTTCTGGTTCCTCGGGCCAAAAACCTGTCATCCTTGCCTCCTCCCCTACTCCACAAACTCATATCCAAATCCTCAGGAAATCTAGTGTGGCACTGCCTTCAAAAATATATTCTGAATCTGATCATTCTTCACGACTGCACTGCTGCCACCCTGGCACAAGCAACATCTCTAGCCTGGATGTTTCAATAGCCTCCCCTCACTCTCCCTGCTTCTGCCTTTTGCCCCTATTCCCACACACCTCTCCTCTGCATCATACCCCACGAGACCCTGTATTATCTGACGCCCCACTACCTCTCTGACCTCAATCTCCTCCTAAGCTTCCCCTTGACCACTCCTGTTATGGACTCAACTGTGTCCCCCCCAAAATTCCTAGGATATCCTAACCCCCAGTACCTCAGAATGTGACTGAATTTGGAGATAAGACCTTTACAGAGGTGATCAGCTTAAATGAGGCCATTAGGGTAGGCCCTAATCCAATATGACCGGTGTCCTTACAGAGGAGGAGATTAGCACACAGACACTGAGAGACCAGGTGAAGGCACAGACAGCAGACAGACATCTGCAAGCCCAGGAGAGAGGCCTCAGAAGAAACCAACCCTGCCAACACCTTGATCTTGGACTTCCGGCCTCCAGAACTATGAGAAATATAGTTCTGTGGTTTAAGCCCCCCAGTCTGTGGTACTCGGTTACGGCAGCCCTAGCATATTAATATAAGCTGCTTCATCACGTTCACTTCCTTACTGTTTCCTGACTACACCAAGCACAACCCTGTCTCAGGGCCTGCAAGCTCATTTCCTCCCTAGGCAGGGTTAGGGATTACACCATATCCATTTCTCAGCTGTGGAAACCGAGGCTTGAAGATGTTAAATGACTTGCTCGAGTAAGAGGTAGAAAAAAAGAGGGAAGTCAAACTTTATCTAGTTCCGTGATCCATGCAAAATATCTCCACACTTTACCAATACTAGATATTTAAGGAAAAACATGAGAGAAACTGCTTACTTTTCAACCCAGAGCACTGACACGAGCTTCACGCCTCTCTTCTGTGCTTTGTCCCAAGTGCTCTGGTATCCATCTTTGAAGACAACGTGAGTTACTTGTTTGTTAAAAGTTTTTGAAACCTGTAGACAAAGTGCAGAAACAAAATATAAATTATTACTATTTGCACACAGTTTCATAAGTACAAAGCCAGTGTCACTCCTGGAGACATTTGCAAAATAGGCAACAAAGTATTAGCAAACTGTATCAACCAATATATAAAAAGGGTAATACATCCCCATCACATGAGTCTATTCTAGGACTGCAAAGTTGGTGAACATTAAAAAAAATCCATCATAATTATTCACTACATTAACAAAGTAAGTGGAATAACAATATGATCATCTCAACACAGGCAGAAAGCACATTTGATAAACTTAAAAAGTTTATTCATGAGGAAAATTCTTAGTAAATCAGGATCTGAAAGTTGGTACAAATCTGCATTAGGCAAAATGCTAAAAGCTTTCCACTGAGAAGAGGAACTAGACAAGGATGGCCGACATCTGCATCCTGTTCAACTGGCCCTAGCCAGTGCAGTATGTCAAGAAAAAGAAATAACAGGTGTTAGGATTAGAAAAAAAAGAAACAAATCTGTCCTGTGCACAGAGGATTCAATTGTGCACATTTTTAAAACCCTGAAAATGCCACAGAATTCATAAATGAGTTTGGTAAATTTTCTGGACACACTGTGTATTGTGCAAAAAATTAACTATTTCTAAATACTAACAGGAGTTAGAAAAAGGAATTTAAAAAATATCATTTATAATAGCCAAAGTATGACTGAGAAAATTATAAAACATTATTGAAAGAAATTAAAGAAATCTAAATCGACAAAGGCATATGGGTTCACGGGTTGGGAAGATTCAATTTTGTAAAAATGTCAGTTCTCTCCATAATGCTCTATTGTTCCAATCCAATTCCAATCAAAATCTCAAAAGAGCTTTATACTGTAAATTGACAAACTGATTCTAAAATGTATTTGTAAAGACAAACAGCTAAGAATAGCCAGGACACATTAAAGAACAAAGGGGAAGACATATGAAGATTTATTACAGCAATTAAGACAGGGTGGTTTGTCATGAGAACAAAGTACAATCATGCGTCCCTTAAGGATGGGGATATTTGCTGAGAAATGGCTCCTTAAGTGATTTTGTCGTTGTGCGAACATCATAGAGGGCACTTACACACACCTAGGTGGTAAAGCCTACTATATACCTAGGCTATATGGAACTAATCTTATGGGACCACCAACATATATGTGGTCCGTCACTGACCAAATCCTAGTTACATGGCGCATGACTGTTTATGGATACTGAAACATACGGTTACCTGACTGAAGACAGAGGTTACTGCAGAGCTTGGTTAAAGGACAGTCTTCCCAATAAATGGTGTTGAGACAAATGAATATTCATATGGAAAAAAAAATGAAACCATTTCACATCACATACAAAAATCAATTCCAGATGTACTGAAAGTTTAAATGTGAAAGGCAAAATGATAAAGCTTCCAGAAAATAACATAGGAGAAACTCTTCATAACCTTGGTGTAGGAACAGATTTCCTTTAAACAGGACACACAAAAAACCTCATCATAAAGGAATAAACTACATTACAATTATCATCAAAAGATACCATAAAGAAGGTAAAAAGACAAGAAACAAAGTGACAGAAAATACTGCAATTCATATGACCAACAAAGGGGTCAACTGAAAAATACAGAGAATGCTTACAAATCAAGAAGAAAAAGAAAAACCCAATGGAAATGAGCTGGAGACTTGAACAGGCTCTTCAAAATAAATATATGAAAACATGCAGGAAAATGTAAATTCAAACCACAATGATATACCACCAGAACGCACCACACCAGCTGAAAGGAAAGACTGACAGAACCAGCATATACAGCAATGGAGCTGTCTATGTTGGCAGAAGTATAAGTCGATTCAACCATTGAATTGTGGTTGAATTCTGTTAGGAACTGTTGAAAACTGTTAGAAATCATTAATTTTCTCAGATGTGACAATGGTCTTTTTCTTACACAGGGAAATGTCCTTGTTTTTAAAGGATGAAAACTAAATATATTGAAGGACAAATTATGACATCTGCAACTTTCACACAGTTAAGGCAAAAAAAACACACACATAAATATACTGTACAGAGAAATGGCAACAAAGCAAGTATGTTAAGACGTTAACAATTGTCGGGTCTACGTTCACTGTACTATTCTCTCATCTTTTCTATTTGAAAATTTTCTAAATAAAAAGTGAAAAACAAAAAGATCCAAGAGATCTAAGATCTTAATCCATACCACCCTCAAAAGCCATGTTGTCAACTCATGTGTTCCATGGCTTTTTCTCAGCCACAGTAACATGTCTTTAGCCCAAGTATGTAGTAGGTTATCATAAGATGGAAACTCCCTCGGGTTCCTAACTTTCAACGTATCACAAAAAAAGTATCCTCTCAGGCCCAAAAGCCAGCCTTATCCCTACATTTTGATTGCCCTTCACCCCAGTCTGCTCTGGGCCTTTGATCTCTGCATCAGGACAGGGAATAGGGTGAGCCAAACAAAATTTAGGAACATTCACTCCTTGCCTGAGAGTGAATGCCTCCTTAGATTCATGCCCTGGAGGCCTCTCTCCTCACCCTAATCCCTGGCCCACCTTCAATGATCTTCTCACCTACTCTAATCTTTCCCTACCCTCAGCCTATCAGCCATCCTCCTGTAAAATCCCAATCCGCACACACAAATACACTTCATTCATTGTTGAACATCCTCTGAGAGCAGTTTACCTTCACCATCTCTGTTCCTTGTATCTCAGTGATTCCTGAACTAATTTCCATTCCCTTTATCCAGTTCACTGGAAACCACACTATGCTCATCAAAGACCTCAGAGTTTTCAAACATAAAGAATACTTCTCAGGGGGCCGGCCCCGTGGCCTAGCGGTTAAGCGCGCGCTCCGCTGCTGGCAGTCCGGGGTTCGGATCCCGGGCGCACACCGACGCACCGCTTCTCCGGCCATGCTGAGGCCACATCCCACATAGACCAACTAGAAGGATGGGCAACTATGACATATGGCTATCTTCTGGGGCTTTGGGAGAGAAAAAAGGAGGAGGATTGGCAATAGATGTTAGCTCAGAGCCAGTCTTCCTCAGCAAAAAGAAGAGGATTAGCGTGGATGTTAGCTCAGGGCTGATCTTCCTCACAAAAAAACAAAAGAAAGAATACTTCTCAGTCTTAACTGTTCTGCAGAGTGCAGTGTTTTAAAATCTCATCATTGAAGTTCGTCCCTCTGACTTCCAGACTCATCTTCTGGATTCTCCTGGCATTCTTCTCCATCTTTGTCCCTGGGTCCACAGCTCCCATCACCTGTCCTTGAAATACTTAATAGGATCCACCTTCAGCACTTTTCATTCTAACCACCTGGGACATTAGCCACACGGGCCTCACCTGACCCCCAGGTCTCTAGCCTTGACTGTCTCAAGTTCCACAGTTGTATATCCACGTCTATCAGGTATTTCCAATATGCCCCCAAAATCACAATCTTTCCCTTAAAAACCTGTTCCTTTTCCTGTGTTCCTCACTTTGATTAACAGCACCATGCATCCAGGTAACCAATGGCAGAAGCCATATTTTCATCCTAGAGTTCTCTTCTCAAATGACCTATAAGACCAACTGTTGTATAAATCCTACTCATCTAAACTCTTCATATCATGATTCTTTTCTTTTTTCTCCTGCCACTTACCATTGTCTTCTTTGTCCTTCATGTTCTAAGTACTAACTCCTAAAATAAGAAAAGGCAAATATATCTCATTGTGTATCAGACATCTGTCATATGTAGCAATGGTAAAATGAATTTCTTACCTTTGCCCCCATCTCCACAAGCTGGTTTGTAAATGTCTTTGAATAATTTTCTGTGCCATTGGCTGACCATACTTCAACATATGCCACTACATCTGGAAACAAACTAGATATTAGCATGAAATATATTTGAAATTCCAGCATCCCTCACCCAAGGATTTCAATAGATTTTTTCCTTATTGTATTTACATTAAAAAGTAAATTTAAAATTTCTCCTTAAATTTCCTTTAAAACTTCTTCTATTAAAAGCCTATTCAGAATAGCATCAGCACTATTACGGTTCTTAAAATTTCAAGCAAAAAACAACTTGACTCATACACAGGTCACAGTTTACATTCTTAACACCCGATGCTCTCACCAAATTCCTACACCAGGCTTAAGTTTTCTAGTGCAAGAGTCTGTTTTCTGTAAAGGACCAGATAGTAAATATTTTAGGCCTTGCAGGCCATACAACTACTCAACTTCATGGCTGTAGCACAAAAGCAACCAAAGACAATACATTAATGAGCTAGCATAGCTGTGTTCCAATAAAACCTTACAGACAATGAAGTGTGAATTCGATGTAATTTTCAGGTGTCATTATTCTTCTTGGTTTCCCCCCGCAACCATTTAAAAAAGTAAAAAACATTCTTAGCTTGCAGTCCCTATAAAAAAAGGTAGCAGGCAGGCTTTGTGGATCAGGGAGCAGTTTGCAGACCCCTTTTCTAGCAGATATCCTTTTCTCAAAACCTGATGTTTTAAAAAAATTTCCAGGTGTGCCATTCTAAATAATTGTGAGCAAAGTAAACAAAAGTCAGCTTAAGTTAACAAAATACTAACATTAGAGAAACAGTGACATCTGATTAGAATTTATGTAAAGCCTCTGGTCTTTTGAATATAAGGTCTTTACACTACTCCAGGTCCCTCAACACAGATCCTGACTACCCACACCCCTTCTCTCCAACACCTAACCCTACATGTCTCCCGGGCAATCTTCAGCAATCCCAGGTGCCCCCTGACTTCACCAGGGATGGGGAGTAGAATATACCGACTACAGGGCAGGCTCTGGTGCTCAAATCCCGCCTGCACTGACTAGCTGTGTGGCTGGGGAGACGCGCCCAAGTCTCCATGCCTTACTTTGCCCACCTGTAAAATGAGCTCAAACAGAGCTGCTGGGACGATTACAATTAAGGCACTATCAACCAAGGGTTTAGCACAGTGCCCAGACACAATAATTCCTCTGTGACAGGTCGCTCCTGGTATCATAACAACAAACACTGACACAAACAGGGAGAGGAGCTGCTATTTCTTTTCCTAATTTCACAACTGCCCCACGCCCCTAAATTCACCCAGGCCTGCAAAGACCCGAGGACCTGGGAGAAAGCTGGAAAAAAATCCACCCATGCCTCTGCACTCCGACCCCTCTACAACCCATCCTGTGCCTCCACCATCTGCCTCACTGAGCGCAGGGAGGGCCACACACGGACAGTCACTGGACTCGGGGACAGCCTCCACCCCACCCCACAACACGGGGACGGTCACTGGACTCGGGGACGGCCTCCACCACACCCCACAGCACGGGGACGGTCACTGGACCCGGGGACGCCCCCAACCCCGACCCCACAGCACGGGGACGGTCACTGGACCCGAGGACGCCCCCAACCCCGACCCCACAGCACGGGGACCGTCACTGGACCCGGGGACGCCCCCAACCCCGACCCCACAAGCGGCGGCCGACTTCCGGGAAGGCCGAGCTGCCCTCCCCGCTCGTCCCCCGAGCCCACTGCACGCGCGCCGAGACCCGGGTACCCGTCCTCCAGCCCGCCCGCTGCCGCCGCCCGCTCGACCCCCTACCCACTCCAGGGAGCAGGAGGTCCCCTCACCTTTCAGGACAGAGGCCCCCGCGGTCGCAGGGGCCGCCATGAGGGCCGGCGGCACCCGCACCGGGTACACGGCGTCGGGCCCGGGGAGCCAGAGGGAGCGGGCGGCACTGAGCATGCGCAGGGTGGAGGCGCGCCGCTCCCCTCCGGCTCCGCGGAAATCCGCTCGTCCGTGTTTTCCAAACAGCCAAGGGAGGGGCGGGACAGTAAGACTCCGCCCCCGCGGAGGGTGAAGAAAGCAGCTTTTTCTACCCCAGATTCGACCTTCCTCCAGCCCAGACTGCGGGCCAGCCTCCTCCCGGGGGAGTTGTCTCTGCCCTCTCGGAAGTTACCAGGACGATGGCCCATAAAATCCGAGTTAAACCCTTATGTGTCCGTAAGGGGACTTAGAAGCTTCCCGGCGCCTCACCTGGGCTCACCTGGGGGCGGGGCCGGGGAGGGGACCTGAGGATGGCCTTGCTCGGAGCCTGCGACGCCGTCAAGTCACCTCACATCACACGCCCCGGGCTCCCGGGCGCCGCCCTGTCGTCAGCGCGCCAAGGACCGTCCAGCGCGCCCGACCCACGACCCCTCTGCATCCAGGCGAGCCCGCGCGGGGCCGGGACCGGCGCCCCTCGGGACCCCGGCCTCCCTTGAGGGACCCCGGACCTCACATCCCCGCGGGGAGAACCCGGACCTCAGGTCCCCGCGGGGGCACCACGGACTTCCGATCCCCACGGGGAGAACCGGGACCTCCGATGTCCGCGGGGCGACCCGGGACCTCCCATCCCGCGGGGGCATCTCGGATCTCAGACCCCGCGGGGGGCGGGGCCCGGGACCGCAGATCCCAAGGGGGATTCCCCTCGCCTGCCTGTCGTCCTTGCGTTCCGCCGCCCGCAAACCCCGGAGCGGACGACGCCGGGCGGGAGCGGGCGAGCCGCGCGCTCGGGACCAGCCCCGCCCTCCCGCCGCTCCGCCTCCCGGGCTTCAAACCTCGCGCCAGCGGAGCCCCGCCCACGCCGTGCCGGGGCGCGGGGGCAGGGCCCCCCAGGGCTGCGCGCACGTGTCGCGTCGGGAGCCGCAGGCCTGAGCCGATCTGCCAGAGCCTCTCCCGGGATGACGCTTAGGGCGGGGAAGGTCTTGCTTGTCTGCTGATAAAAGGTTTCTGTGTAATCTCCCTGAACCAGTGAATCAGTTAAAGGATCCATGCCATGTGTATTAAAGAATGAGCCACCAAATGTGTAAACTTTCATTTCCAGTGATTTCAATACCATCTTGGTGTTCTGTCATGTAGAACGAATTCTATTTCCAAGCTTAATGAAAAACACAGTTTTGAAGTTAAAGTTTTGAAGTTTTGAAGTTAAAGGGACGCCATTGTAACTCAGTGGTTAGAAGTACAGGCTCTATTTTGGAATCAGACTGCACCTAGTTTGGAGCCTTGTTCAGCCACTAACTAGCTAGAGATATTGAGGAGTTACTAAAACTCTCCAAGCTTCATTTTCCTGTGAAAAGGCATTCATAATAGTAGAAATAATAAACTGACATTTACTTAGCACTTATCATGATGTATTATGAAAGTTAATCCCGCCAAGAGCTAAGTGTTCTTATGGCAATTTACAAAGCACTTACATATATTTTTTTTCTTCTAGATTCTCACTAACTTTCTATTATTTTAGAGGTATTTATTATCCCATAATCTGGAGACTAACAGTGGACTCCTGCCGGCTCCAACTCCTTTACAATTAAAAGTGCTTTCTCTTATTTTATACTTTGTATCATTTGATGCTCACAACAGCCCTGTTAGACAGAAAAAGTAAGCATATTATCCCGTTTATACACATAACTAACCAGGTTCAAGGGAGGTTACCTGACTAGTGCAAGGCAACTCAGCTAGGAACTGATGGTGTTGGTTGTGTTGGGGCTGGGAAAATCCCTTCTTCCCTTCTTTTGTTTTTATGGCTGGACTAATAATCAAATTGAGGAAAGACCAGATTAACAGGAGAAAAACCCAGTTTAACACCTACGTGTTGGAGATCATAGAGAAATGATGCTCGAAGAGTGAACAAAGCAGGCAGTATATATCTTTTACATAAAGAAACAATAAATTTGTGAAGAATTGACAGGACAAAGAAACTTAGGTTTGGGGTATGTAAATAGTGAGGAATTTAAGCAGAGTTTAGGCTTGAGGTAGTAAATTAGCAAGATTTGTTTGTGCAGGCTTCTCGGCCCTGAATTCCCCAGCTGTGGTGATAAGGATGCAGGGAGAGCACCTCTCACGTGGGAGATTTATTTCCTGCTTTCAGGGAAAATAGAGACAGGAGAGTCAGAAAGCCCTTTTTGCTTCTCAAGTAACTTAAATTCAAAATAACAATATGCTATTGTGGGATATTTGGGGGTGGCCTGCTCTGGGCCCCAACAGTTGGAACTGGGATTCATACAAGTTTAGTTCATTTTACTAAATCCAGTGTCAGGGTATGTACAGGAATATTGACTACCATCTATTCAAGTCTTTCTGTCATCCATTTATTCATTATCCCAGTAGTTATATCAGCTGTTAATAGGATCCAATAAGCCCACTGTGGTCCTGAAGAATGACCTTGAGTATATGCAGCCCCGAAACCCCACTTTCTAGACTCAAATCTCTGATTAATAACTACATCATTATCACAAATTGTTGACCTAATAAACTCTACTCTGAGGAAATGGTGACACCGTTTACTTGGGAATGTGAGCTCAGCTCATCGTTGAAGATAAAGCTACTTTCCCTACTGAGTAAGCGACACTGAACTCTAAGAAAATTTAGAATTAAAAAATGACATAATGAAGTAGATCAAAACAATCGCCTTTGGTCAGGGTGGTACAAAAAGTTCAGTATTTGGTAGATTCTTCAGCTTCAACATCACAAATATTTTCTCCTATGACTTCTTGTACAAATACTATAGTTTTAGATTTTATATTTAGGTTTAGGATCTATTTTGAGTAAATATTTGTATATGGTACGAGATAAGGACTGAAATTCATTTCTTGCATGTAGATAACCAAATGTTGCAGCACCATTTGTTGAAAAGCAACTTTTTCTCCATTGCATTCAGTGCCTTTGCATCTTTGTCAAAATCAGTTGTTCCTACATGTGTGGGTTTATTTTTAGACTTCCTATTCTGTTCCATTGAGCTATTTGTCTGTCTTTATGCCAATACGACACGGTTTCAGTTACTGTAGCTTTATAAGTTATGAAACTTTATAACTTTATAAGTTATAATAAGTTATGAAATTGGATAGTATAAGTCCTACAACGTTTTCTTTTTCAAAGTTGTTTTATATATTCTAGATACGTTGAATTTCCCTACGAATCTTAAAATCAGATTGTTATTTTCTACACACACAAAAAAAAACTCCTGCTGGGATTTTCATTGGGATTGTGTTGAATCTCAGATCTGTTTGGGGGAGGATTGACATCTTAACAATATTTACTCTTCTGGTCCACTAGCATTTGTTTATGTCTTTAATTTCTCTCAGTGATGTTTTATACTTTTCAGAGGATGGGTCTTTTAGAACTTTTGCCAAATTTAAACACAAGTCTTTCTATTTTTTGATGATATTGTAAATGATTTTTTAAAATGTCGATTTCTGATTGTTGCTAATATATGGAAATACAATTGGTGTTTGTAATTGATCTCATGTTCTGCAGCCTTCCTCAATTTGATTAATAGTTCCAATATTAATATCTAATAGCTTCTTGGTACATTTTATATGATGTTCTACAGGCAATTGTGTTATCTGTGTTGGGAGGAAAATTTTTCTTCTTCCAATTTGGGTCCAGTGATTGAGGGTCTGCACATTAACAATTTACAGAAAAAGACAAGGTTTGTTTACACGTGCTTGTGTGTACATGTGGGAGTACTCAGTGATAAGTAACTCACTGAATATATACTAAACTTAACAAAGGGAAGAGGTGGTTTCAGGGCTTCAATGAGAAGTTATGGAAGGTTCTGTAGGGCTTTTTGATGCTTATGGATGTTGGCAGTCTGTCTTCCTGGCACCAGAGTTCACAGAAAACTCCCTCGGAGGGGAGCAAATGGCCGCTGTATTTTCTGGAGGCTCTGCTTTCATCAGATAAGAGATTTATTTCTGCATCTTCTTTAGCTCAAATGTTTTCACTTTAAAATAATCTTTATACCAACTCTGAGGTCTGAGTCCTCATATCTGCAAAAAAAAAAAAAAAAAAAAAAAAAAAAATCAGCTTTGCTTCCTCCTTTCCAGTCTGGACATCTTTTATTTCTTTTACTTGCCTGCTTACACTGGTCAGAAACTCTAGTTCAGTAGTTCTCAGCAGACAGGCGATTTTGTCCCAGGGGACATTGGTAATGTCTGGAGACGTTTTTGGTTGTCATAATTGGGGGTGGGGAATTACTACTGGCATCTAATGGGTAGAGGCCAGGGATGCTGCTAAACAGCCTATGCAGGGCAGCCCCCCAAACAAAGAATTATCCGGCCTAAACTGTCAATAGTGCTGAGGCTGAGAAAACCTTAGTCCAGTACAAGAGTAGTCGTCCTTGTCTGGTTCCTGATCTTAGGGAGAAGGCGTTTGGTCTTTCAACATTAACTATGATCTTTCGCAGATGCCCTTTATCAGTTTGGGGAAGTTTCTTTCTCTTCCTATGTTGCTGAGAGGTTTTTTTTATTTTTCAAATCAGGAATTTTTAAAATCAGGATGTTTGATTTTGTCAAATGCTTTTATTTTAATCTACTGAGATGGTCATGTTGTTTTTCTCTTTCTAGTCTGTGAATAGTGAGTTACACGGATTGATTTTTGAATGTTGAAATAACCCTGCATTTCTAGAATAAACTCCACTTAGTCATGATGTACCAACCCTTTAATATATTGTCAGATATGTTTTGCTAAAATTTGTTTAGAATTTTTGCATCTATGTTCAAGATAGATTTGGGTCTGTAGTTTTCTTTTCTTGTGATGGAAACATGGAGATACAAGAAAGAATGAAAAATGACAAAAAGTGTTCAAATGTGAGTGAATCTAAATGATATTGAAGGTACAAATAAAAAATAACATAAATATTGATTGTATAAATCAACAATAATAGTCTTATGG